ATGGTAATGCCTACATAATAGACATGAACAGCAATATCCCTGACGAAGTCACTTGTCTCTTCTCCAAAGCTTCTGAACAAAATGTGATGTTGTGGCATCGTCGTCTCGGTCATGCAAATGCAAAGAACTTGAATCAGCTTGCGAAAAACGAACTAGTCCGTCGGTTACCCGTCAAAGATTTCATTACTTTTGAAAAATGTGTTTCATGCGCTCAAGGAAAACATCATCGGAAACCACATCTTCTTAAGCAGATAAACTCCATAAGTCATGTGCTCGAGTTATTGCATATGGATCTATTTGGTCCGGTCAATGTGCTAAGCATCAATCGAAAATCATATTGCCTTGTGGTGATAGATGATTACTCAGGTTTCACTTGGGTTTTCTTTCTATCTAAGAAAGCAGGAATTGCTGACCTCATCAAAAGATTCATTGTTATGATCGAAAATCAAACAAACAATCGAGTGAAATCACTACGTTCAGATAATGGAACAGAGTTCAAGAACGATGTTCTCGATCATTTCTACGCTGAGAAAGGGATTGTGTGTCAATTCAGTTCTGTTCGAACACCTCAACAAAACGGGGTTGCCGAACGTCGGAATCGAACGTTGAAAGATGCTGCAAGGACGATGCTATGTGATTCCAAGCTTCCTGTATTCTTCTAGGCAGAGGCGATTAACACTGCATGCTATGTTCAAAATCGTGTGCTGATCAACAAATCCAGAATGAAGACTCCATATGAAATTTTATTTGGACACAAGCCATCAGTCAGTCATTTCCGCGTATTTGGCTGCCCTTGCACCCTTCTTCACTTGGATTCCAATCCCAAATTCAATACCAGAGCTGATGACTGTTACTTTGTTGGATATGCTGCTCGAACTGCATATAGGGTTTACAACAAAAAGACTAAACAAATTGTGGAATCATTTCATGTTCACTGGCTTGAAGAAAATGAGACAGATGCAAGAGTCGGTCCAGATTGGCTATTTGACTACACATCTCTTTTCAAATCATTCAATGTGTCTTCGGATAACCAAGAAGGATCTAGCTCAAATTCGAAGATTCTTGTTGAAGACGAAGAAGATGAAGTTGTCTACCGCCCACCGTCGATTTCCTTTGATCCTCCATTGGTACCCTCTGTTTCCACTGAATCTTCTGAGTCTCCTCAACAAGTTTCTCCTACTGCTATTGCTACTCCTTTAACTCCGATGGAGAGAGAGTTCATGAACCCTGAGACTTCCGCTGTCAATTCTAATCTGATGGAACTTCTCTTTCCAGAAAACATTGCTGACGAGTTTGTAGCAGTTTCTTCAAACGAACCTGGTTCATCTTCCACGGGTCATACAACAAATGATGGAGTGATAAATATTTACACACTTCCTGTCTCTGTAAATGATATTTGTTCTCAAATCCCTACACACATTCAGCGCGATCATCCGATAGAGAACGTCATTGGCCAGCTGGGCGATGGCGTTCAAACGAGAAGCAAAAGTGGAGATGTTAACACATGCCTCTACTCTTGCTTCATATGTCAAATAGATCCCAAATCTGTCGAAATGGCTCTGAATGAGCCCAGCTGGTTCGAAGCCATGCATGATGAGTTAAATCAATTTGAGAAACTTGGAGTTTGGAAATTAGTGGAGCTGCCGAAAGGAAATAAATCTCTTGACACTCGCAGGGTATTTCGAAATAAACAAGATGATTTCGGTGTCATTGTGCGCAACAAGGCAAGATTTGTGGTTCGAGGGTTTCAGCAAATTGAGGGTCTTGATTATAGAGAAGTTTATGCTCTGGTTGCTCGCCTGGAAGCCATTCGTATCTTCCTTGCTTATGCTTCCTACATGAACTTTACTGTATACCAAATGGATGTCAACACGACTTTCTTGTACGGCAAGGTCAAGGAGGATATTAATGTTGATCAACCACCTGGTTTTGTTAATTCGTCCCTTCCAAACCATGTTTACAAGTTAGACAAAGCTTTGTATGGATTGCATCAAGCTCCTCGAGCTTGGTATGCTACTTTTACTCAGCATTTGCTCAATGACGTCTATTCCCGAGGCACCATTGATCAAACCTTATTTATCAAGCATGTCGGTCCAGATCAAATTCTCGTTCAAATTTATGTGGACGACATCATATTCGGGTCGACAAGCCAACAACTTTACAAGGAGTTTGAAGCGGTGATGAAGAAACGCTTTGAGATGAGTTCGCTTGGGGAAATGACCATGTTTTTGGGGCTTCAGGTCAAACAAACTTCAACCGGAATCCTTATTCATCAAGCAAAATATGTGGATAATGTACTAGAGAAGTTCGGGTTTCGAGATGCAAAACCTACTCTTACACCCATGGCGGAACGGCCTCTTCTGACTCCTGATCTTGAGGGTGAATCCGTAGATCAAACTCATTATCGATCAATGATCGGATCACTCATGTATCTTACTGCTAGTCGCCCAGACGTCATGTTTGTGGTCTGTCAATGTGCTCGCTACCAGGCTAATCTTAAACTCTCTCATTTAATTGCTGTTAAAAGGATTTTTCGGTATATCAAAGGGTGCCCAAAATTGGGTCTTTGGTATCCGAAAAATCCCGAATTTGATTTCTACGCATTTGCAGACAGTAATTACGGTGGGTATGAGCTTGACAGAAAATCGACTTCAGGAGGATGCCAATTTCTAGGAGATAGATTGATGTCATGGCAGTGCAAGAAGCAGCACATGGTCTCCACCTCAACAGCAGAAATGAAATACGTTGCTGGATCTGCTTGTTGTCCTCAAGTTATTTGGATCCAACATCAGCTGTTGGATTACGGTTTGAATTTTCAAGAAACCCCTCTCTTTTGTGACAATAAGGCTGCAATTCAAATTGCCAAAAATCCTGTCCAGCACTCAAAAACCAAGCACATCAACATCAAAATTCATTTTATCCGAGAATGTTATGAGCGTTCGCTCATTCGGCTTGAACAGGTCCGCTCTGATAATAATGTAGCAGATCTGTTCACCAAGCCGTTCAACAAAGCTCGATTCGATGTGCTGGTCAATTTTCTTAAAATGATTCATTTTGAGGATTAAATTTTTATGCTTAGTTTAGATTAGGGTAAATTTGCACATTTTTCTTTTATTTTTTTATGCACAAATTTAGGGGGAGAAAAATTAGAAAATCCAAAAACATAAAAAATCAGAAAATCCAAAAACATCAGAATATTAAAAATCAAAAAATATACATTTGTGTTTTATGATATGGGTAGGGAAGTGATATGATCAAGTGATAACATGCAATCTAAGTCTATGTAACGTACCCAAAGTTGAAGGGTCTATGCTCTGGGTTGATGCGTCGGTAGGCACGAAGAATTTAACAGACTTGACTAGGTGCAGTTGAACTTAAGAAATCAAATGACTTGACAAATCTTGACCTAGTTAGATCTGTTTAGTCTGATAATACGACGCTGGGATAGGTTGAGCAGGGAGATATATACGGGAATCTACTCGTCACATTAATGAACATGTATCTGGAATCGTGATTTAACTTTTCCTCCATGTGCGGATTCTATCCTTAATTCCGGTCTTGATGGGGCGACTGGTAAATTCCGATAAATTAGGTCTGTAGAAAATCATTTTCTTTCTTTCTGTCTGTTAATCATATGTTACCTCCTCTGAGTGATTGGAAGAGATCCGACCTGGACTGTAACATATGCAACTCTATTTCTCTGCATATTATATATATTCCTATAAAATTCCTCTTATCTGTTAGCCATATGTTGTCTCCTTTGTGTGACTAACAATCCGACCTGGTACACAGCATATGCATCCTTCTACTTCTCAATCCCTCTAAAATAACAATACTCTGAATCTATCTTCTTTCTTAATGATGGTCTGCTCATCCGATGTAAGGAGTACTCTGGGAGTCCTTGATTACCGGGGCATATCTGGAAGCGGGAAACATGTTTCAGTAAAATTAAAATTGAACACTCAAAGATTATCTATAGATCTCGCTGCTCAATTTAGGTGGACAACAATATCCCTGGTCATCGTCAGCTGAATGGTCCTTAAAATATATTATCTAGAAACTTAGGATCAGATATAATATCTAGGAATTTAGGATCACATTGTCTTGTCACTTATAGTATGTCCTAATTTTTGTCACAATTTTTCGTATTTAAGTGGACAACAATACCGACGATCGACCAGACAAAGACGTGAAGATGGAGGGTACTGACAAGCAGATAAAGGCTGTCTAAAAACATTGATCCCTAATCATTCTTAAAATTCTATTTTTATTGCACCTTAAATTTCTTTTCGGTTTATCTTTATAGTTATCTTTGTTTGATTTTATTTTTATTTTTATTTTTAATTTTATTTTTGTTTTTGTTTTTTATTTTTTTAGGTAATGTAAATATTTTATCCTCAAAATCTTTTATTTTTGAAAATTAATAAAATTTGAGTTTGCTGTTGAAATTTGGGTTTGCTGTTGAAATTTGGGTGTGCGGATGACGAGTGTGTGCGGTGTTTGGCTACACACACTATGTGCTGTTAGAAATTAAAAAGATGAGGGGCTAAAGTGAAATTATTTTGTGTCTAAATACCCTGTGCGGTGAGGTTCTCTGTTCACTTTTCAGAACCTCAACCGCACACTCATTATTTCTCTCTCAAGTTTTTTTCAAAAATTCCAAAATATTTTGACAATCATTCACCAGCACACGGTAATAATGATGAATGCGGTTCACTGTTCAATCATTTTTTTTTCGAAAAGTTTTATGGTTTGTTGTTGGATCTTCAAATAATCATGTTTGCGTTTGAATGTGACCGCACACGGTGTGTGCGGCTGCACACGGTGCGTGTGCGGTTGACCGTGTGCGGCTGACATATGGGTGTGTTGTCTTTGTCATGTGCAGTTGCAGCTGCACACACACTCGTGTGCGGCTGAGTCCAATCTCATGATCAATCAGTTATGCTCGAAATATTTCTTCCCTAATAATTGTTTTTGTGTACTTATTTTTCAGAATCAATATGGGTGACGCGGATTTCGCCAAAGTGCACAATTCCTCAATTTTCCTAGAAGATCCTCCTATAGCGCATGTCGACATGAAATTTATCGTGGATGGTTTCAAGAAATCATGTTTGGTGCATGCTTTGACTATCAGTCCCGCCATTTACCAAAATCTTATAAGAGAATTCAGGCAATTTGTTGTTGTGAAGAAGAACAATAAAGGAGAAAAATTCATTGAAGCTACAATGGAAAACAAGCAGATTCATGTAACCGAGAACATTATCAGATAATCTCTTCAGATTAATGACAGACCTGAGTATCTTATAGAAATCAATATTCATCAGATTCGGGAAGTTTTGGACCACATTGGATATGAAGGGACTTTTCCTCCTACCATTAAGAAACTGCTTCCTCCGTGCATGAAGTATCCAGCTCATATCTTTGTGAGTTGCATCTTTGGCCGAAGATCCGGGGCAAATGAGATTTCTTTGGTTAATACCGGTGCTATCGCTGCTCTGGCTGCAGGATATGACTTTAACTTCTCGAAGTTCATTCTAAATGAGATGATTCTTAACTTAGAAGGGAACAAGAGAGATAAATTTATGATGTATCCACGATTAGTGCAAATCATCCTTAACGTGACTCATCCTAAGTTGCAGAGAGGAAATGAAGTGTTGGATCTAAAATCCATTGGTCCAAATGCCTTTGGATTAATGAAGCAGAAGAGAACAGGAAAATTTGTGTTCGAAGGAAAATTCCCCTTGATCAAGTTTGGTATTTTTGAAGAAAGAGATAAAGAAGAATCTGAAGAACACCCTGTTCTAGTGGAGTCTGAAGACACACATCATTCTGGGTCTGAGCCTGAAATTGAAGTAATCTTTGATTCACCCATGGCTTTCGTAGCTGAGGAACATGATTTTCAAAAATCAAGTGGATCAAAATCTACCCAAGAAGATGATGATGAGAGTCTATATAATGATGTAGATTTCTTGAAAGCGATTGATTTTACAGGAATTGGTGATCATATTCCCACCAATATTGAATTTGATCTGAGTGACGAAGACTGTGGCATGTTTCCTGAGACCCTCAACAACTGTGCAAATAAAGCCGATGAAGCTGCTTCTTCAGCAGCCAAGGCTAGAGATGAAGGAAGCAATCTCAAAATTCTACTTTCCTGCTCAAAGCCTCTGGACAATACTTCAAGTCAAGCGGATGTGACCTCATAGATTCCTCCCTCTGGGCCATTAATCTCAACAACTGCTCCATTACTCCCTAATTCAACACAATCCCAATCCTCCCAGACTTCGTCTAAATCAAGTCAACCTCTTGCAAGTCTGGAGGTTCCTGTAACTAAAAGTGCACCACAAGTCCTATCAACCATTACAACCACTATTCAGTCTTATCCTCTTCCCTCTCAAGAAGGCCCAAGTACAAATTTTGAAACTGGTGGATCTTCTTCGATACCAGAATACTCTCCTACACGACCATCTATGGATGAAGCTTCGATAAGGTTGGCCAAACACTTGGCTCAAATAGATACAGTGCCCTCACATGGAAAGGGAATATCCTTCAGAGAGGGGCAATCACATTCCGATGATGATGACTTCCCGTTAGATCCTCCTGCTCCCAGAAAAACTATTGTAATAAACCGTTTCGAAAAAGAACCCGAAGGGAGTGAAGCCAGAGTTACAGCCAAACAGGGAAAAAGAATTATCTCTGAAGGTCAAAGAGAGGGTCTCTTGTTTATGAAAAACTCCAACGAGAATCGCAGAGCAAAGGATCCTGTCTTGATTGTAACTGACCTGAAGAAACAAAAATTTGGTGATATGTATGGAGATAGATAAGGTATGCGCATGTGGGCATTTTGATCCTAAAACAAATCTATGGATGGTGAAACGGAACTTTGGATTTTATGAATGGTACAAAAGCACCCATGACTTCAAATCATGGACCAAAACTGATCTTGCAGAACTTTCTAGAGTTCCATTCCTCAATCCTTCAAAAGACCCAACTGCATCCAACTTCAAAAGATTCCTTGATCGGCAAGTTAGAGAAAAGTTTCCAAGCATGAAGACAACAAGGGCCCTTTATCGAAAGGACAAGGGTGTTCTCAACCCAGAGACTGGCGAACCTATGAAAATTCTCTTATGGCCTTCTACGAAGCATCAAAAGGAAATTCCTATCCCTCAACACTTTCATGTAGGATATTTGGATAATATGGAATTCTGGGCGTTCGACGATGAAACTGCAACTGCAACCATAAAATTCAAGGATCGAGAACACGTCTTCTGGCTAATCAATGCAAAGGACCTTCTTCAATTTCGAGATAGGGACATTCCTACTCTGGCTCGTCATCAGATAATATGCAAGAAGGATGGTATGGAAGTTGCGGCCAAAGAATACACTGCAATGGTTGCTACCATCATAAATCAAAGAATGTGGTTAAGCTCTATGGGGAGATCCGATCTTCGGCTGTTTCAAACGCCACCTGAGACGCCAAAATATTGAAGAGAAGACCATGCTAGTCTCAAACCAAGGGGGAGACTATTAGAACAAAAATTGTGGTTTGAGCTAGGCATCAGTATGTTTAGGAGTCTGGAACAATGGGTGTAACTTTATGTTGTTAGAATAGCTTGTGTGTGCTGCCGCACACAGTGTGTGGCTGCATACCCATGTGCTGCTTGTGGTGTGTATAAATTAGTGGTTTGTGTGTCAGATTTGTACCTTTTTTAAGCTGAACTGATGATTGTACTTCCTAAGGTGTACCTGACATCTTTCTACAATAGATGTGTGCATGCTTGATCTGATTTCTACTCCTTCTTCATTTTCATCTTGTTCATAATTGCTTCATTGATTACTAATTTGGATCCTTAATTTTGGGGACTTACACTAACTGACCAAATGAGCAGGTTGTCATCCAAGAGTGAGGAGCGAAGAATGTGGATTGAGCAGAAAGAGTCGGAGTTGGTTAAGTCTAGAGATGAAATCATTTATTTACAAAGAGACAATCTTAAGTTGTTCAAACAAAGGAATGTGTTTTGTTTGATTGAAAAAAGACTTTACACTAACATTACACAACTGCATTTGGATTGTGAAATAGGCCAGAAAATACATCGCATGATTTTGCCCTTCCTTGATCTAAAGGAGGATGAAATCGTTGCCGAAGCGTACAACTGTGAAAGTGTTGTATCTTCAGAAGATGTAAATGCCACTTATATGTATGGTCTGGACAAAATTGAATCATTTATAAAGTCGAAAGACCATAAGAACATGCTCAAAAATCTTTTGGATGAAAATGACAAGTTGAAAATCAAAGCCGAAACTATACAAAAATTTGACTCATTGAATGCCAACTTAAGTTCAGAAAATAAAATTGATGTTGAAAATGCATCTGTACTTAATGAGGATGATGACATGAGTGAAATTTCTGTAGAGGATGTGGTTGATTGTTCTGAATTTATTAGAAGAGAACCTGAAAACCACAAAAACTTGATTTCTGAAAATTCTGTGGAATTCGCTCGCTTGTCCAAAAATAAGTCCCCAATTCTTATAGAAAAGGTTGTTGTGTACCAAAAGGTGAGAACCACACTCAATCAAGTCTATAAAGTCACAGGAGTAACCGAACATCAGACAGCCGAACTTACTGCACTGGTGAATGAAGATAATGCAGATGGTTGTGATGAGTTCTTCTGGTCCGCACTGATAGATAGTGCAGACGAAACAGTAGGTTTATCGGAGCGAACATCATGGAAATTCAAAGGTAGATATGTGGCAGAACCACTTAATAAACCTACCAAATTTGACGTGCCTAGTACCAGTGGCACAAAAGTGGTTCCAGTGGAAAATGTCTCCTCATCAAGCGACACCTCTTCCATGGAAAGCAAACCTGTTGTTCAGAAGCCAAAACAGAAGGCGAACATTCACAGATAACCCAAATAGGTGAAAAATCAAAAGCAGCAGAGGAATCTGAGGTATAAGAAAAACCTCTCAGAGCGAAAGCAATTTTGGCGCTCCCAAAATCCTCACTACGCTCACTTTGATGGAAACTCCATGGCCAAAGGAGAAGAGAAACAGGATAAAGGAAGCTTCAATCCTTTGGACCAAAAGAACCAAAAGAAAAAGGTTGGGTCACAGAAAGAACAAGACCAAGAGGACAGGTTCGGTCCTGAAAGAAACAATAACCGAAAGTCTAGTTTTAGTCTTCCAAATAACAGCAAACACAGACCAGGTTCAGTCCATCTAGCTTTTATAGCATGAAACGCAGCTTCGGTTCAGAGACCCACAATAACCGAAAAACCGGTTTCGGTCCGTCATCAAACCAGAACTGTAGGTCAACGTTCGGTCCCTCAAATGATCACAACAGAAAGGGTCATTTCAAACCTGAAGACATGAGAGATTCTCATTCTAATTCCTCTAATTCTTCTCATTCTCATTCTTCTTCTTCTTCTTCTAAATCTAACTCCCGTTCTTTGCCATGCTCTCAATCGTCAAAGGATTTGAAAGGAAAGACTAAAATTTCCTCAGCAAAAGAAGACCGAAAGCAAGCCAGCAACCAAACTCCTGAACCTAAATCCAAAACCCCTGAATCTAACTCCAATAAGATCAACGTGTCCAACATTAAGAGGAAAGATCAAACAACATTAATAAAACGAACTTATCTTGTTGATGCTTCTCTTACTATTCCTGTTTTGTAAAAGGCTCACGAGGACCCAAGAAACTTTGGGTTCCTAAATCTGCTTAATTTTTTCAGGTTATAAGTGACGAGCAGTTTGACGAAGGATGATACATAGACAGTGGCTGCTCGCGTCACATGACAGGAAGGAAGGAAGAGCTAAGGGAGTTTCGGTCCCTTCAAAATGGCGGCAATATCAAGTTTGGTAACAACTCCTATGGCACGATAAAGGGTTATGGAATGATAACCAATGGAGATTTTACAATCAGGAAGGTGGCTTATGTTGAGGGGTTACAACATAACCTTATAAGTGTGTCTCAACTGGTGGGAGGTACCGTTCTCAAAGTCTCATTTGATGATGAATGTTCAGAAATCATAGAGAAGAAATCCAACAGGGTTATTCTCAAGTCAGAACGAAAAGGTGAGATGTTTCCTTTAAATCTCAACCCAATCAAAGGGAATCCCGCCATATGTCTCTTGTCAAAAGCTCATTCAGACGAAAGTTGGTTATGACACCGAAGTCTCTCACCCCTCAACTTCAAAGACATTAATAGGCTCGTTATCGGTGATCATGTTCGTGGTCTTCCATTGCTCAAGTTTGATCGAGAACACTTATGTTCTGCTTGTGAAATTGAGAAACAAAGTCGCAAAAGTCATCCAACCATTATAAACACCAAAGTTGTTGAACCACTTGAGTTAGTTCACATCGACTTATGTGGTCCTTCATCCATTGAGAGCATTGGCGGTAATCAGTACATTCTTGTTATTGTTGATGATTTCTCACGGTTTACATGGGTGTTCTTTCTAAAGCAAAAATCAGAGGCAACTCCCAAGCTGAAACTCTTTATCAAGCAGGTCGAAGTGCAATTGAGGAAAGTCATTTGAAACATCAGGAGCGACAATGGACTGGAATTCAAGAATAAAGAATTCGAACACTTCTTGGCAGAAAAGTGCACCAGTCACAATTTCTCAGCCCCTTATACTCCTCAACAGAACGGGATTGTCGAATGGCGAAACCGATCTCTGTGTGAGGCGGCCCGAACCATGCTGAGTTTCGCTTCACTTCCACTGTACTTCTGGGCAGACGCCATTGCTGCAGCCTGTTTTACTCAAAATAAGAGTTATCTCAACAAACGTTTCTCTGTCACCCCCTATGAAATTCTTAACAGAAGGAAACCGAATTTCAAGTTCTTTAATGTGTTCAGCTCAAGGTTCTTCATTTTCAATTCCATAGAACATCGCAACAAATTTGATGTCAAAGCAGACGAAGGCATTTTTCTGGGATACTCTCTTACTTCAAAGGCGTACAGGGTTCTGAATAAACGTTCCAAACATAATGAAGAAACCTATTATGTAACATTCGATGATACCTACATTAAGAAGTTGCAGTCTATTGAAGGCGAAATGGGAGAGATTTTCTCTCAATCTGGTCAAGTCATAGCCACTGTCGCTAATTTATTTGATCAATTCATGGATTTGTTTAATGAACCAGAGAAGGCCATTCACTCTAAAGCCAAGGCAGCAGACAACAAGGTAGATCACCTTAAGAAGATTATCGAAGACTCTGCCAAACAAATGGATGAAAAAGAACAGGTTCGAAACGAACCTCATCAGAGCAATACTTCAGTCGAGGGGGAGAATCATTTATCTTCAGAACGACAAGACTCACATATCCAGGGGAGGCTCCATCATTTTCAATTGGTGATAATCCTCATGACCAAAGGGAAACTCCAATCTTTGAAGCAACTGAAAGCCTGAAATCACCCGAAAGTCCTGTCGCCACCGAAAGTCCAAGACAGCCCGAAAGCCCGGTCGCACCAGAAAGCCTGAAATCACCCGAAAGTCCTGTCGTTACCGAAAGTCCAAGACAGCCCGAAAGCCCGGTCGCACCCGAAAGCCCTGAATCAACCGAAAGCCCGAAACCGCTCGAAAGCCCAATAACAGAAGAATTTTTTGGTTCACCTCCAAATGTTTCGTCATCTGTCGAGGGGGAGGATTCCACTTTGCTTTATGATGATGATATTCAATCAGAGTTGGAAGAAGAGGTAAATGTTGAACTGGATCCCACTTATTATCCAAATTATCCTCCTCTCATCAAATGGACTAGAGATCATCCTCTGTCTCAAATCATGGGTGATGCATCTGAAAAGATGTTGACTCGATCACAACTGC